TGGTTTGACTTAGGGCTGCCATAAGTTGGAAATGACTTGAAGGTACACAACAACAACACCAAAAAGGCAATCAAAATTGCAAGCTGAAATATTTTTTTAAATTATACATCCTGGAACCTTCCACTCTTATGACACTGTGGTTTCTTTCTTTCTCTTTCATTTGTTCTTTCTTTCTTTCTACCTGTGTATTAGTGTATTTGTGAATCTCAATCAAATATTCAACTAACAGGAAGGATAGATGAAGATTACCATCCTGTTAATGGAAGACTAAACTACATATTCCAGCCAATATGCATGGATAATTTTGTATGTTTCACTCAGGTTTGTTAACATGCTGATATCAACAAGAGCACCATTCAAGCTGTCTGTGATCCACAGTCAGGATTTCTACTAAAATCATTGCCATGATAATTATTCTTCCAGGATCTGGAGTCATGAATTCAGACCCATGCAAACTATCTCTTTTCATAGAGTTGCTTATTCCCCAATAGGATAATCAAATGGATAAAAGCACCTTAGAAAATGTGCTTTTGTGAGGTGCATGGCCACTGTGTGCTCGGACCCCTGGCCATTGACCTGTGGGGTCCCACAAGTATCTATTTTGTCCCCCATGTTATTCAACATCTACATGAAACCGCTGGGAGAGGTCACCCGGAGTTTTGGAGTACGGTGCCACCTCTACACAGATGACACCCAACTCCACTACTCTTTTCCACCTGAATCCAAGGAAGGCCCTCGGATACTGGACCAGTGCCTGGCTGCTGTGACAATCTGGATGAGGATGAACAAGCTGAAGATTAATCCTGACAAGACAGAGGTCCTCCAGGTCAGTCGCTCGCCTGAGCAGGGTATTGGGTGGCAACTTGTGCTGGACGGGGTTGCACTCCCCCTGAAGTCACAGGTTCACATTTTGGGGGTCCTCCTAGATTCAGCACTGGCACTTAATGCCCAGGTGTTGGCGGTGGCCGGGAGGGCCTTCACACAATTAAAACTTGTGCGCCAACTGTGACCAAACCCTGTGAAGTTGGACTTGACCACAGTGGTCCATGCCTTAGTTACCTCTATATTGGATTACTGCAATGCTCTCTACGTGGGGCTACCCTTGAAGATGGCCCAGAAAAATCAACTTGTTCAACGTTCGGCCGCCAGATTAATAACAGGGGTGAATTACAGGAAGCGGTCAACCCCCCTGTTTAAAGAGCTCCATTGGCTGCCGTTTATTTTTCGGTCCCAATTCAAGATACAGGTAATCACCTACTAAGCCCTAAATGGTTTGGGACCCGCCTACCTTCGTGACCATATCCCCCTCCATGAACCTACCCAATCCCTCTTCTTTCACTCCTAACGTTATCTCAGGCCCGCCTTGTGGGAACAAGGGAGAGAGCCTTTTCCTCAGTGGCTCGCAGACTATGGAATACATTGCCCGGTGAGATTAGACGAGCCCCTATTTTAGAAAGTTTGAAGAATATCAAAACCTGGCTCTTCCGCTGCGCTTTTGGAGATTAATCATATAATCTCATATTGCTGTTATCCCTCAACATCTGTCTTTAGTGCATACCCCCTCCCCTTCTGTATAAAGGCTTTTTTCAACCCCATTCCGGAAGAGTTTCTCCCCCACAAATAATCTGCTCCATTGTTGTCTCACCCTGTGTTTTTAGACGTGTTTTTAGCCTTAGTATTTTATTTATGCAGCCCACTCATTGTTCTGTTATGTTATGATTGATTTTATTGTGATTTTATTTTGTTTGCTGTGTTCTTATATTTTATGTTTTATGTAATTTATCATGCTGTTGTTTGTGTTTTGATTTTATTTATTGTATTGCGTTGTTGGGCTTGGCCTCATGTAAGCACCCGAGTCCCCACTGGGGAGATGGTGGCGGGGTACAAATAAAGTTTTTTATTATTTATTATTATCAAGTAGTGCACTTAGCCCTTCAAAATCATTGCAATTATACCCTATTCACAAATGCTAGCATTCACTTAAGATGTTGTTATTATTATTATTATTATTATTATTATTATTATTATTATTATTATTATTATTATTATTGCAGCAGCAGCAGCAGCAGCAGCAGCTCACTGCTATTTTCTCCCCCTTCTCTTGTTTCCCTTTTCTTTGCACAGGCTGTTGTCCAGCAGACACAGATCACAACCACTGTGTTACTATTCCAGTAAAAGAAATTGTCTGAAAGCCATAAAAACCAGTTGGTTCTCTTCTGCTCCATCTGTTTCTGTCCCAACACCTCAGTTTATAAGCACTTGCTCCTTGGGTGCATCAACACTGTTGATGCCACTTAAACTGACATGGCTCAAAGCTATGGAATTGTAGAGTTGTAGTTTAATGAGGCACTAATACTCTTTGACAGAGACAGCTAAATATATTGTAAAACTACAATCCCCATGTTTCCATAGTATTAAACTGTGGCAGCTAAAGTGGCATCAAACTGCATTAATTCTACAATCTAGATTTAGAGCAAGGAATGCCACAGGTCTCTACACCACAAGGAATACCTATCAGCCATTACTGTGTTCTGGGCTCTGCCCAAAGCCCACAACTTTCCATCCCCGTTCATTTAAGAACACTGACATTTACTCCAGTATCATAAACCCTCATGTTTTTGTGATTTGCTTTACGAGTCTAGCAAGAACTGCCTCTCTCAGACTAGTCCTCCACACTTAAGTCAATCCAATTATTGAGACCAAAGGTTCTCAAACTCTGGCTTGCCGGATGTTTAGGACTTCATTTCTCAGAAGCTTAGCCAGTTTAATCAATGTTCAGGGATTCTGGGAGCTGAAGCCCAACTATTTGGAGGATCAAAGTTGAGAACCACTGAATGAGACTGTAACTCTTTTGTCCCTGCTCATCAGGGATACCAATGTGCGGTTTACAGTTCAGGACATCTGAAGAATCGAGAATGTTGCCCAAGACAGAAACAAGGAGGGATAGATTCAGTCAGTGCCAAAGGGGAATCAAAAAGGCCAATTTCCCATCCACTGGAAAATAAACCTTGGATAGAGGATAATGTATGCATAATGAAGATCTGGCACTTTGAGTGTTTGACAAAGTCTGCGTTCAACCACTCCTTCCTATTCTTTTATTCTTGCTTTTAAGTTGTACTGACACTGAACAATCGTTAAAACTAGGCATCAAGTAAGGAAAAAAAGATTGGCAGTAGAGGATAACATATATTATTTTAACATCCATTTAATATCTTGCTCTTCCAACAACTCAGATGATTCTAAGATACAAAGCAGAGGCCAAAGGAAGGCATGAATATATACTATACCCTAGGAGAACGGAAATGTGGCAAGAATTCAAAACGATTCATTGACAGAGGAGTGATTGTCCACAAAGGGGATATTCAAAGGAGACGGAAAGAGAGACAACCCATTCATTAGACTGGTGTACTTTAGATTAGTTTCCATTCAAAAGACAAAACCCCAGGATTCTTTAGAATGGAGCTACGGTCATTAAACTGCTTCAACTCTACAATGTGGATTGGTCCCATCAATATGTATTTTTCCGCACATTAAACATCTTCTCACTAAAGGTTCTGGTTTCACCTACATTGTAGAATGAATGGAGTTTGAGACCACTTGACTCGATGCTATGGAAACATGGGAGCTGTCCTTTCACAAGGTATTTAGCCTTTGCTGACAAGAGTACTGGTGCAATCCTTACCAAACTTTAATTCCCATGATTCCATAACACCAAGCCATGGCAGTTGGAAGTGGTGCCAAACTGCATCTGAGAAGGCAAGCAGTTAGAAATGTCAAACCACTTTAATTCTGCAGTGTGGATGGCCTCATTGATGCAGGGATTTTTACCTCTTTTCACTGCAGATTCAGATCAGACAAGCAGCTCTCACTCCATTCTCGATTCCAGAAAGATTGGTGAAAAAAAGGAAATAAAACAGACAGAATGTGTTTGATAATGGGCTTTCGTAAGAAGAGATCAATTATTCTTCTTATTCATTTATTTCTACCTCGCTTTTCTCCTGAATCGAGACTCAAAGTGGTACACAATATGTGAACAAACATGACACAACATAAAAATCAACTAAACACTAATAAAGAAAATTATAGCAATATAAAATTATAAAACCATGATATACATTATAAATCAGGAATTGGCAAATTTGGGCCCTCCAGGTGTTTTGGACTGCAACTCCCACAATTCCCAGACATGGGCAAACTTGGGCCCTCCAGGTGTTTTGGACTACAGCACCCACAATTCCTAGACATGGGCAAACTTGGGCCCTCCAGGTGTTTTGGACTGCAACACCCACAATTCCCAGACGTGGGCAAACTTGGGCCCTCCAGGTGTTTTGGACTGCAACACCCACAATTCCCAGACGTGGGCAAACTTGGGCCCTCCAGGTGTTTTGGACTGCAACCCCCACAATTCCCAGACGTGGGCAAACTTGGGCCCTCCAGGTGTTTTGGACTGCAACACCCACAATTCCCAGACGTGGGCAAACTTGGGCCCTCCAGGTGTTTTGGACTGCAACACCCACAATTCCCAGACGTGGGCAAACTTGGGCCCTCCAGGTGTTTTGGACTGCAACTCCCAATTCCTAACAGCCTCAGGCCCCTTCCTTTTGCTCCTCAGCCGCTTAAGCGGCTGAGGGGCAAAAGGAAGGGGCCTGAGGCTGTTAGGAATTGTGGGAGTTGCAGTCCAAAACACCTGGAGGGCCCAAGTTTGCCCCGCCTGTTATTAATTTTGTATTATTTGAAGACTCCAAATGGCCCCCATCCTACCCTTCCCCGGAAGTGACGCCACAAAATCCCTGCTCTTCTCTCTCTCTCTCTCCCTCTCAACCAGGGCGAACAAAAGGGATTTTCAAGCCTGCCCAAAGACTCACACGGACACGCCCCCTTCGCGCGAAGCCACCGGCTTCGGCCTCCGATTGGTCGGAGGGGCCTTCGAGGAGGCCGGCTCCGCGGCTTTCCGCGCGCGGATTGGGCTATTCTCCGAGGGGCCCGGCGAGGCGGTTGGCGGGCGGGAGCGTCAATCAGGCCGAGCTTTGAGGAGGCTGGATGGAGAGTGGGGCCGAGCGGGGACACTGGTGGTGGCTGAGGCGAAGAAGGCGGCGGCGGAGGAGAGGGAGGCGGAGGCCGGCGGAGAGCCGAGAGGAGCTCCGGTGAGAAGCGGTTGCGAGGAGGGCGGGAAGGGAGCAGAGGAGGAGGAAGAGCGGAGGGGGGCGCCTGCGGGAGGGCTTCGGGCCTCCGGAGGGAGGGGGCTCGTCCTCGCCGCTCCCTCAGAAACGACGCCGCCGCCGCAAGGGGCCTCCCTCCCTCTCTCTCTCTTTCTTGGCCGGCATTTGGATACAGCTTGAGCATCCCTTCTCTCCCGAACGGTCCACCCGAGAGAGGGACACCCTTGCCTCACGCACAACTTCGGTTTCAGTCACAAAATTACCTTCGGCCTATGTATTTCATGTTTCCATAATCTCACCAACAGGTTATCTCAGGCATGGGCAAACTTGGGGCCTCCAGGTGTTTTGGACTTCAACTCTCACAATTCCTAACAGCCGGTAGGCTGTTAGGAATTGTGGGAGTTGAAGTCCAAAACACCTGGAGGACCCAAGTTTGCCCGTGCCTGGCACATCTCCTCTTCTGGAGGTCTTTAAGCAGAAGCTGGATGGCCATCTGTCAGGAGTGCTTTGATTGTGTCTTCCTCCCTTGCAGGGGGTTGGGCTGGATGGCCCATGGGTCTCTTCCGAGGCTAGCATCTCATTCTGGATAGATATTGATATTCCAAAATCCAACAAAACTTGTGTTTTTTGCTGCTCTGGAGACTAGGATGCAGAACGATGGCTTCAAACTACAGGAAAAGAGATTCCACCTGATCATTAGGAAGAACTTCCTGACTGTGAGAGCTGTTCAGCAGTGGAACTCTCTGCCGGGGTGTGGTGGAGACTCTTTCCTTGGAAGCTTTTAAGCAAGCTGAAATGCCATCTGTTAGGGGTGCTTTGAATGTGATTTTCCTGCTTTTTGCCATATATATATATATATATATGGTTTTATTGTTTTTATTGCATCTACTCTGGTTTTATAATGTTTAATTTGTTGTTATGTGTTTTGACTTGTTGTAAACAGCCTTGAGTCACCGATAAGGCTGAGAAAGGCGGGATACAGGTATAGTAAATAAATAAATAATATATATATTCCAGATATTGATATTCCAAAATCCAACAAAACCTGTGTTTTCTGCTTCCCTGGAGACTAGGATGCAGAACGATGGCTTCAAGCTACAGGAAAGGAGATTCCACCTGAATATTAGGAAGAACTTCCTGACTGTTAGAGCTGTTCAGCAGTGGAACTCTCTGCCCCATAGTGTGGTTGAGGCTCCTTCCTTGGAAGCCTTTAAGAAGAAGCTGCGTGGCCATCTGTTGGTGGTGCATTGAATGTGATTTTCCTGCTTCTTGCCAAGGGGTTGGACTGGATGGCCCTTGGGGTCTCTTCCAGCGCTAGCATCTAATTCTGGATATATATGTATTCCAGATATTGATATTCCAAAATCCAGTAAAACCTGTGTTTTTTGCTGCTCTGGAGACTAGGATGTAGAACGATGGCTTCAAACTACAGGAAAGGCAATTCCACCTGATCATTAGGAAGAAATTCCTAACTGTGAGAGCTGTTCAGAAGTGGAACTCTCTGCCCCAGACTGTGGTGGAGGCTCCTTCTTTGGGGGCTTTTAAACAGAGGCTGGATGGCCACCTGTCGGGGTGTTTTGAATGCAATTTTCTTGCTTCTTGGCAGGGGGTTGGTAGAAGAAAGAACTCTTGTCTGCTTGAGGCAAGTGTCAATATTGCAAATGGCCACCTTGGTTAGCATTTACTGACCTTGCAGCTTCAAAGCCTGGCTGGTTTCTGCCTGGGAGAATCTGGAAAACTCACAGCAACCCAGTGATTCTGGCCATGAAACTTTCTTTGTACCTTGCTCCGTCTCCCTGTGGGGCGGCTCACAACATGAATAAACACAATAAGATACATAAAAAGAATATCACATCAAATCAATATAGAAACAAACAAGATAACCCAAAACACAAGTTAAAAAAAAACACAAGTACCCAAAAGTAGGAGTATCCCTTTTTCAAAATCTGAAATGCAAGAGTGAGAGGGTGACACCTTTGCCTCACGCACAAGTTTGTTTCAGGCACAACATTATTTAAACATCGTGTATAAATTACTCTCAAGCTATGGCCGGATGACCATCTATCAAAAGTGTGTTGATTGTGTCTTCCTGCATGGCAGCAAGTTGCAATGGTTGACCCTCGTGGTCTCCTCCAACTCTGTGGTTCTATGAATATATAGGACATAGATGAATGTCTTGTTTAGACTTGGGTCAGTTATCTCATTATGTATGTAAATGCAAATGCAGGAATTCCAAAATGTGTTTTTTTAAAACACATTTTGAGCATCTCTTACCCGGAATTCCAAAATTTGAAACTTCACACGGACAGCTGGTGGAATTACACCTGTGCCTCATGCACAGCCCAGGCACAAAATTATTTTACTCGTTGTATAAAATCTATCTTCAGGCTATGTATGTTTAGAACATAGACGAATTTCATGTTTAGATGGGTTCCATGTCCAAATTATCTATATATGTATATGCAAATGTAGATATTCTAAAATCCAGGGAAGAAAATCCAAAATACTTCTGGTACAAAACATTTTGGATTAAAAATGCTCAACGGGAGTATCAGGTACTGTTGAACCTCTCTTATACTTGTGATCAGGATTTTTGGATTTTTTTGGATTTTGGAATATGTGCATATATATAATGACATCTTTTAGGCATGGGACACAAGCCTTAACATGAAGATGATTTATGTTTGATATATACCTTGTAGACATAGCCTCATTTTATTGACAATCCTTGTAATAATTTAGTGCACGAAACCAAGTTAATGTGCAATCAACTATAAGAAAACAAAGGTGTTTCTGTCCCAGCAAACAATTTTGGAGTTTGGGGGATTGGGTATTCTGGCTAAGAGATACTCAGTCTGAGATCAACAGGGCCTAAGAGGGTTGGAAAGAATGAAGAGGCTGCTGTGAAAGGATTCATCTCTTTCTTTAAGGAGCCCCTTGAGAGCTAACTTGTGTTTCAGATTAACAAGTGTCTGTATGCCAACATGATGCATTGAGGTAACCGTTCCTGGAGTTATAGTTATGTAACTATAATGTGTGAAATTGGCCTGTGAGTTTTAGACCTTGCATGTGGTGTGTGTGTGTGAAAGGTAGAGAAAGAGGAAGAGATGTGATACTTAGGCTCTGCAGTCTTTGAATTCATCTTCATTTCCCCAAAATGAGAAATGCTGCCAATTGCATTTTCTTAGTCATATTCTGTCGTGAAAACCCTAGGAGTAAAAATGATCTAACCTATGATCCCCACACATAAATGGGCACATAAGAGGCTGAATATTATACCCCACTCCCGCTGTCATACTTTCCACATTCGACCTTCTCCCTAGGTTTCCAACTTCATGTAGAAAGTTGCTCCACTGGACAAAAAGACCAGATCGGATTCCCCTGCTTTGATCACAAAATTATCCATTTTATCTTTTGAAAGAATCTCAGAACAAAACATACTAAGGAAATCTTTTTCAGCAGCTCTCCTTGGTTTGAAAATTGAACATAATTGGAATTATTTTATGATCAGATTTAGAAAATTGATGTGTTAAGAGGAATGGCTAACTTTGAAGGAATTTAGAGCCATTTAAAAGCAATTTTCTGGGTATGAGGAAAGAACAGTAATTGTTTTAAACTATTTCACAGCTATGTATTTTTTTTCTGAAAAATAGAATTTCAGTCTGGAAAAACCACAGGGTGTTGGAATCCGCTAGAACTGACTGTTTATCAAAAGAATATTTTGTGTTTTGGGGTTCTTTTCACAGAGACCATTTATTTGCTCTAGGTAAAACTGTCTTTGTAATTCAGTGAGGGAAGCTTCCAATTTGTGTTGATATATACTCTGTTAATAGCTTACCATATTCAATGAAATGTGTTTTTGGCTGTCAAACAGCCAATAATTCATCACAAAAGAACACTAAATGCAATTTTAGTGCTTTCTTATACAGATGGGGGTTCCACCATAATGGGTTTGTGATAAATATATGTTATGTGACTGTAGCCAAAATTAAAAGACTAATTAGGGATATTAAGTTTAAATGATTATCTAGTGCTTGATATATAGCAAACCTTCTTAGCCAGATTTTTTAAAAAAATAATAATTACTATTTTAGTAAATTTAATTATCTCTAACATACATGCTACTTTCTCTAGAATATTGGCTTTTTTATATAAGCCGAAGCTTTTGCTTGTAGCTGCTTTGCGGAATTTCTATGTTTGTTAAAGGTGTGTTTAGCGGCCATAGTAGCACTGACAACACAGATCAGCAGTTGCTGTATGTTTACTCTGTTCATATTGGAGGCATCAGGTGTTGGAAGTCTTCAAAGCAAAGGAGGGAGCTCTAACTGCAGACATCAGTCTATAGAAAGTAGTGTGTTATATGATGTTCTTTTAATCTTAGGTAATTCAAGATGTTGCCATAATACTGCAATATTTCTAAAAAAAAATGAAGTAAATTAATTGGATAATTTATAATAAAATTCTGATGTAAATATTTAGAAAAATATTTTAAAGTTACAATCCATGTACTACCAAGTAGATCTCTTTAGTGCCAGTGTGGTCTTGTACTTTACTCAAAATCACGTCCGCCACCACAGCTTTATTGGTGTTGTGGTTTTCCTTTTCCTTAGCTATTGTGCTTCTAATGTTTAAACACACAAGTAATTCCTGAAAGGTTGCACTGAATGAAGGTAATCCACATGTTTCACTACAGTAGTGCAAGAGACTTCAAAAAACAGAACAAACTTATTGATGTTTAGGAAAATAAGCAGTGATCGGCATTAAAGGCACAGGTCTTTTAACAAAATTTCTAACAAAGAAGTTGACTTTTACAAAGTCTTGTTACACTTGCTGAGCCCCCTTTTCCTTTTCCTCCTCTGTCTAGCTGGAGGGGTTTTTTTAAGGAAGCATTGGAAATGATGTGATATTAATAGAGGGCTACAGTCTTCTGATGTCAGGTTATATTGGCATGTCTGAAGTAAACAATAGAAGGCAGCTTGAGCTTA